CATTCTGTTAAGGTTCATTTGTGCAACCCTGAGCAATGTTAACCAAATGTTGCAATGAAACTTAAGTAACAATAGATCTTTTCTTCCATGCTGGGATGTACATCCAGTTTATCAACAAAGAAAAACTGACTTGATTGGAGATAAAATGAATAAGTCTTGCATACATCACCGGAGAGAGGTCCAGTTACAACTTGATTTTGATTGCATATGCCATATGCAGTTAAAAAAAATGTTTTAAGAAATTGAACCTATTAATGGATGAATTGTTGAGTATAAGATCTATAACATGCATTTAGAAAATAGAATAGGGGAAATTTCCATTCCAGGTTTTTTGTGATATGTAATTTTATAATAGAGTGATACATATTGACAGTATGTTTAGTCACTGTTCCATAAAGAATGAAAAGTGCTTGAGCTGCCTGCTGTTGCTATGGTTACCATGGCAGGCAAAAGTGATTTTTTTTTGCAAGTGCCTATTTATCAGAGAAATATGTGACCTGACTAACTTGGTGATGACTGAACTCAGACAGCAAGAATATGTTATGTTAGAAAAAGATGTTAGATCATCAATGATGGGGGTGGAGCTGCCAGAGACATTGATTTTATGTAGATTCAATGGTTTTTTATGTTCTGAGAAACATACATGATTATAATTCAAAGCCCATCTTTGTATAAGTTTTGGGATTTGTTGTTCATTCAGGAGATGAACATGGCGCTTTAATTTCCGTCTGCATGATTTTATGCATTAATGAGATTCTCATGTCACCAGCTGGATGTTACGAGTTGTATGCCAAAAATATGACATCAAACCCCTTGAGGGTGTTATCATTTCAGTCAGATATTCCAAAACACACACATATATATATATATCCATGCTCAGGAAGCCATCATGCATGTAACTAATTTGAAATAGCGCGAATGTATTATCAAAAACAATGAGCCATGATACAACACGTATTACCTACAGATACAATACACTCAGTTCAAATCAAATCCATTCTGCTCTGATTGTTTCCATTCAGAAATGCCCATACAGCAACCTGTGCTATTTGGACACAATGACAACACACAAATCCATTACAATGAACACCACATGTCTACACTGTGATGCTACCGCAGCTAAATGGAGCTATTCAGAGCTCATAATCCTCGGATCAGGAGGTCTCAGGACTGTTTAACATTCATAGAGACATTCATTTCTTACTCACACATAGGAGATAATCCCATAGTGCCAAAGGCCCCATGATTTCCAGCTGCAGCCCCAGTCATTCTGCAGACATTAATGACCTTACTGAAACATGCCCATCTGTGCACTTACACACATGCTAACGCTCATTTACTGGGACATGTTGACGATCCATATTAAATCAGCTCATTATTTGCATTGAATTTTACATTTTCTAAATTCAAAATGGTATTTTTATGTACTTTGTAACAATATTGTCATATCTAAATGTATACAAATGTACATGTATTTATATTTTTTATATTATAATTTTTAGATATATCATCCAGCCCTAATGTATACTTTGTACTGCATGTGTTATAGTTCAGATGGGTGTTTTAAAAGGTGAAAGTGACTTGGTATATTGTGAGCGTTGACTGGGTCATGATGAATATTTGCTTTGCACATTAACCTTGTGATGTCAAAGTCTGAGTGCATCTGCTTCTCTAGATTAATGATCGATTTCAGTTATACACTCGACAGGACGGCACCTGAACATTAATAACAAGCTGCAGGAATTTTAATGAAGCTAATTATATTAACTGACCGTCTCTTCACAGATTCCATACCATTATATCATTTGCCTTTGCGGATTGGCAGCAATATGAGTGGAGGACAAATTAGGCTACTTTGTTAACGCACAGTGCCGTGTCAGTATGCCGTTCAGCTATTATCAGTGTGTTCAGCCCTTAATGCATTTTAGCTCTTTTAGAATTGTCCACCACTTAAGCCAAGGGCACTCAGAATGAACAAAATCCATATCCAGAGGACTGAGAGGACTGGTGTCACATTGCAGTGAACATAATGTGTTTTTCATGAGATCATGACATTGGCATTGTGATTGAGAGGTGATTACTAATGCTTTAATGTTAACTTTAGGTTGTCTCAAAGGAGATCCTTTGAAAAAAGTACTATCGTTAAAAAGCTTTGCCATCACAGAATAAATTCATTTTGAAAATATATTCAAATAAAAAAAAAGTTATTTTGAATTGTAATATTTCACATTATTAGTGATTTACTGCATTTTTGTCTAAATAAATGCAGCCTTGATGAGTGAAAGAGACTTCTTAAAAACACATGAAAACAATCGTATGACCCCAAACTTATGAATGGTGGTGTATATAACTCATTCCACTTACTGTATTAGCAAAAACCAACAGCACAATGGACTAGAACAGCACACAGCTGAGATTTGCACATACAGTGGAGTCGCCTATATTTTAACCCCTTCTATCCAAATAATGTGAAAAAACCAGAAGAACTGCATTAACGGCAAAGCATTTCATTAGACAAAAATGAGTCCGCTTCAAATAATGGGAGACTACATTTTTTGTAAATTGTAGTATAAAAGTCACGGTATAGATAGGTCAGAAAATAATCATAATAAAGTAGGCCTAGTCAGTTTCACTCAAGTACATTTAAAAGAAACATTACTGACAGCTATATAGTTAACATTCTCGTAAAATATTTGTTTTATGTAAAAGCTTAATTGACAATAAAGAAACGTGCTTCCAGTGTAGCGTTGTATTGTGTTGTATGAATTTGCAGATGAACAAATCTTCTTATTAAAAGCTAATCACACCGCAGCCTGCTTTACGGTAATTCTGCAGTGAATAAACAGCGCCATCCATTGGCAGTTAAAAGTATTGTCCCATAATTTAAAATGAAATTATTTATATACGTGTATATATATATATATAGGGATGATTCTTTAACTTTATATTGCAGGTTCGATGTTTTATTAAAACAGATTTCATATGAAAGTCACAAAAAAATGGGTCTTGGAAACCCATACATTAGCCTATTCATTTATTTTTGCTACTTTCAAATTAATGTATATTTCATTGTTTTACCCTAGACCCAGTATTTCAATCTTAAAATATGAGAATGCAAAAAAACAAAAACAAATATAAAACCGATAATATGAATTATTACATGTTTAAAACTGACAATCTAAACAACAAATAAAATAAACAAACCTTTTTTTTTTTTCATTTAATTTATTAATTTATCTAGCTCTTTCTATCAAACAAAAGCTAAAGAAACACACAAATACATAATATATACATGTGATATTATTCCTAATATCTACCATTAGTTTTGCTGCTAGTAATGTATTCACTATGAATTCAGTTTACTAAAAGTTGTCAAAATAATACTTGGGCCTATGAGGTTCTGTTCAAGCCTGTGCCTGTAGCACATTTGAATCTCCTAGTTTCTAACTAAAATTAGGTCATTCCCATTAGGAAACTGATATGATATACTTTGGGTGTTGTGGGATGTCCATAATCATTGATAGTAAGTTAAATTAATCCTCCAGTTAATCCTGTGAAGCAGCTGAGGCGGTGATAAAGCATCTAGTTATGTCAATCATTATTGGTCTGTGAAGTTCACACAGTACCTATTAAACTGCTAATGAGGTTAGGAAGCCCCATACAGCCTGTCAGGGACTGATAAGACAGAAATTCCCTGAGCTCAACCTTCACGGGGTTCTACAACCCCAAAGCCCCTGCGCAATAACATGGGTGGGCTGATTCAGTAGGGTCAACCTTACTTAATAGTTCAACTATTTGCATTATGATAGAAATGGAATGAAGGCAATCTTGCAGAGCTTACAATGCCATTATAATGTTTGCTTAGGGCTGGAATACACTACATGATTTTTATTCTGACAGATTTCAGAACACTAGGCATCACTTGCTGACTTTGTAAATTACTGAGAAAAACAGGACATCAAATCCTGAGGATTGAGGATCACACACTACCAGAATTTCAGGTGATTCTGAAAACAACAAACTCAAGCAGAAACACGTCACATTGCTAGGAGACGCGTGACAAATCAAAACAATATGAGCTCTAAAAACGGCTCGAAATGTCAAACATGTTTGATTTCCTTTAACTGGATGGAAATATGGTCTGAAGCGAAAAAAAATTAAAGTCTGTGTTTATCAGACACGACACAGTTTTCACTGAAATCTGTCAAATCAAATCTGCAGACTGGCTTTGAGTTTCGGCAACTAGCTTTGACTCATCCAGACTGTAAATCGGCGCAAAGATCTGGACAAAAACAAAAAAAAATGCTTTATTAACTTTAGCTAGTTAATGAACAACTAGCAGGTCATGTAAGAAATAAGCATGGGTTACTTCAGACATTACGTAATGTAGTTAGACATTGTTCAGTCACTGAGAAAGAAAGAAAAAAAAAACAAGAATAAAGAGGTCCAGTGGTAGTGAAAATAAATGAAGCAAAAAATTGGCCAGTTTTTTTTTTTAAACCTGTGAAACGTCTCTTACACTCTAAAAAATGCTGGGTTAAAAAGGGACAAACCCAGCTATTGGGTTGTTTTGAACCCAAATGCTGGGGTTGTCCCTTTTTAACCCAGTACTGGGTTATATTTAACCCAGCATTTTTTAGAGTGTAAATAAGAGAACATGCAGATCAAATAACAGAATAAGTTTCGTATTTCACATTTATTCATCCAACAAAAAAATAGTCTAGTATAGTGTCTTTGGTAAACAGCTCTTTGGTCACTAAAATATATTGACCCTTATGGCTACTGGTTTTCTCAACAGCTGTCTTTTTCTTCTCACAAAATAACTTAAATCAATATTTCAAGTGCATTTATTTATTTATTGTTATATTATGTAGGATAATGTACCATCATCTGGCCATTATTGCTAAATAAACCCAAGCAGTCTGTCCTTATAAATATAATGTTGATAAATATGATAATTTAATATTTCTTGTGCCAGTCCACATTTACATCAGTATACTTTACAGCTTGGTCTCTAAGCACAAGGCATCTTCTGTGGAGGATCCACATGCTCTGATGTTCTCAAACTCTTGGGAAATCTCAAGGAGAGTTTTGCCTTTTGTTTCAGGAAGGATGAAGAAGACGTAGAGAGCGGCTATCAGACAAACGCAGGAGAAGAGAACAAAGCTCAGAGACTTCAGAGCGGCCTGCAGAAACATGGATGAGAACGTGGCCCTTTGTTAAAGTGAGACGACAGACTGCAGAGCAGTTTCATTGGAGCAGTGAAAAGGTGTGCTGAAAGCCTGGTATTACACATTGTTCAAAATGAAGACATATAATAGGGCACACATAAAATAATTATTCTGTATTTTAGTTGGTATTTTATGACAGTATAAAATAAAGAGAAGAAAAACTCTGAGAGATTCACAATACAGTCGTAATCACTGTATGCTGGCAAAAGCTTATTACATAAACCAATAATGAACCATCTAATAGCAATGACATTTACTGATGCTGCATTTGTGGAGAACAGGCTCACTATATATTTTACCGTCATTAAAGTTTAAAAGTGGCTGAATCCACAAACATTGCTTTATATTTGAAGACATGTGGGTCTCAAATCAACCAAATTTCAGAAACGTCCCCAGCTCAAATTTTTGATTTTGTCAATATTTTTTCTGAAGAAAGCCAAAAAGTCATGAATGTATATTTACTGAGTAATTCACTATTTTGTGGACAGGGGTCAAAATGGCAATTTTCACGTGATATTCAGAGCCAAGTTACAGGGTAGTAAAACGACTTCAGAAAGATGACAGCATCATTTTATTTTTGCACAGAGATTGGTAGGTCTATTAGTAAAATCTGTTGACACTGTAATATTTATTGCATTATATGCCAGTGGTGACAGTTTGAAAATGGGAAAAAGCACTTTTCAGTTTTTTTCAAGTTTTCATGCCTGTAACTCAAGAAGTATTAAAGATATCTTAATGTTCTTTGTTAGATTTTGGGCCTTAACAAACTTTCCTTTTGGCATCTTCATTTTTAAGGGCCTATGGTTCAATTTCAGAGATGTTTGAATCTCAATATGGCTCCAGGGGTAATTTTTGAAACTGTGTACATGCTGTATTCAGTGGTCAAAAACCGAATGTGTGTCACTTTGCATACAGATTATATATATTTTCTTTTAAAGAGGAGTGTCTGAAAAACAAGTAATGTTGTTTCCCTCTATCAAAACAATTGCAATAAATATTATTTTTCCAATGTTTGCATGTCTGTATCTTTAAGTATTAAAGATATCTCAGTAAGATTTTAGATTCTGATTCTTAATCAACTTTTCTTTTGGAGTCATCATTTTCAAGGCCCTGTGTAGTTCATTCCCATAGATATGGGGATCTCAATGCGGCTCCATGTCCAGATTGTTGTGGTCGAAAACCAAATGTTTGCATACAACTGATGCTTATTGTATTTGAAAAGGATTGTCTGAAGAATAATGAAGATGCCCAAAGAAAAGTTTGTTAAGACCCAAAATCTAAATGGGCATTAAGATATCTTTAATACTGTACATCTTGAGTTACAGCCATGCAAACTTTGGAGAAATAACTTGAAAAACAACAAAAACTGCTAAAGTCAACAAATTTACTATTAGACCTATCTCTATGTAAAAATAAAATAATGATGCTGCCATCTTTCTAAAGTCATTTTTATCCCCGGTAATTTTGTCTAAGGTGAAAATTGCTATCTTGGCCCCCCTCTACAAAATAGTGGATTACTCCGTAAATATACTTCCATGGCATTTACTAGTTTGGCTTTCTTCACAATACATGTTTATCTTTCTTAAAAAAATTTTGGACAAAATCAAAAATTTGGGCCAGGGACCACTGGTTGAGTTGAGACGGAACGACCCACATGTTTTTTATGGTATTGGTATGGTGCTGGACTTACAATAAGGAATGGGAAGATGAATCCAAGCATTGTGAATCCCAACCAGCGCAGAAAGCCGACAAACACAAATGCAGCCGGGCGGTATGACTGGATGAAGATCTCATTGATGAGTGATGGGGCTACTCCAGCTGTTCAGATCAAACTGGTTTGAGTTGTTGGCACTGGCTAGTCAGTTTATAATGAATGTAGTATGTGCTTATCATAAGCAATATAAATGTTGTAGAATACTGTTGTTTTGAACACAGCAGCATGATTGCAAGAGCAGTATTGCTTATACAGCTTTGCTATATATGCTTTGTTTCTATAAAGGCGTGTTGTGCATGAGAAGCTGCAAAATAACATGCGCAATGGTGAAACGTTCTTATACCACATATTTACATAGAAAACAATGAAAATGAAATTCAAAAAAGCGTTTTGTGTGCACAGCCCCTTATATACAGTACTGTTATTGTTGCTTTTGGAATGCCATGTGACCAATCAGATTTGAGGATTGAAACTAAATGTTGTATAAATATTTCAATAGTTTACCTGGGCCTCCCCCATAGAAAATAAAGAACAGGAAAATGAGGATGACAGTAGTGTATGGAATCACAGAGCTGTAGTCCTGGAGACGAAACAGAGATAAGGTAATAAAGTTCTGTTTTTTGATCGCTGTGAGCTGTTAAATTATAGAGACTCACCTTTAGGTACAGGGTGACAGTGATTAATGCCATAATGGCCGACATTCCCCCAAACCCTCGCCACATCAAGGCTCTCCTCCCCACACTCTCAATAAACAGCCCCTACACATGCACACAAACACAAATGCACACACGGGCCCCATAGATGATTTATGATTCCTCCACCACAAATTATGCCAGTTTGATTTCAGATTACACACTTTAAAGGCAGAGTAAGTGATTTCTGGTAGCCAATGTTGATATTTGAAATCACCAAAACAAACACGCCCCTACCCCAAAAGGGTCTTGCCCCTATTTTGATAGCTCCGCCCCACATATATGTACGCAACTCAGGCAACGATTAGTTCTGTGAAACAAAGCAAAACCAATGTTACACCATGTCTACCGGCCCGAATCAGTTTTCTAAAGTGTTTTTGAAAAATCACATACCCTGCCTTTAATGTGCGCCTCTCTGGAGCTTACTTACACAGGTTATGGAGATGAGGACTTCTGATGCTCCGATTCCCAGAGTGACATAACGGATCTTGTCCACTGGAATACCCGCTTCCAAAAAGATGTTGAAAGAGAAGACGGTGATCTGTGAGCAAGAAGGGTAGAAGATCACAATATTTAGTATATAGGTTGTTCTGTAAGGATGTCTTAGATACTTTTTGACAACACAATGACATAAGACACATTTCTATTTAGAAGCATTATTTGGTGTATTGACAATAAATGCTAAATGATTTACAGCAGAGATGCCGCTGAACTGGATGCATCCGTTTATGACCAGCATGGAAAGGACCTGCCAGTGCAGGTGCTTGTCTCTCAGCAGATCCAGCACACTCTTGTTGTGCTCCTCTCCAATGACTGCCTGTTCTGCTAACATCTCCTCTATCTCCAACTTATAATCGCCTGGTCCCCACAGACACTGCAGTGCTGCCGATCAAAACATGAATACGTGATTTAACACAAAAGACGTTTGCAATGACATACAGAGGTTGATCAGTTACTGTAAATGTAATGCACCTTTTCTGCACTGTTGAGTGTTGCCTTTCTCTATCAGAATATATCGTGGAGCATCAGGGAAGAATGGCAAGATTGCCAGCTGGACCACACAAAAAAACGCTGGGATGCATAGAAGAATGTTCCAGCACTCTTCACGGCCAAGAATTTCCCTGTGAATAAAATTAGAAACTTAGCTCAATTCAAAGAAATATTGAGTATCAAAAGATTCCTTTCCTGAAGCCAGATCTATTAAAGACAGATCAATCAAACATAAATGGTGGCATTGAATTAAAAGTTTGGAATAATTTTTTTTTTTTTATGTTTTTGAAAGAGGGCTCTAGTTCTCCAAGACTGCATTTATTTGATCAAAAATACAGTAAACATTGCGGAATATTATACAATTCAAAATAAATGTTTAATGTAATATATTTTAAAATGTAATGTATTCCTGTGATAGCAAAGGTGAATGTTCAGTCTTCAGTGTCACATGATCCTTCAGAAATCATTCTAATATGCTGCTAAGTTAAAAGAACAGCATTTAATTAAAACATAAATATTTTGTAATATTATAAATGTCTTTACTATCACTTTGGTCAATTTAATATGTCCCTGCTATAAAGTATTACTTTTTAAAAATATCTTACCCCAAACATTTAAACGGTAATTTAATCACGGTTTCCACAAAAATATTAAGCACCAGTTTTCAACATTGATAATAATAGGAAATCTTTGTTATTAGACATTTTAATAAGAGAGACTTTTGACTAAACTTTTGACTGGTGGTGTATTTATCTAAGGCATGTTAATGATAATAGTGTAAACATTTTTATTTTATTTTTTGACCTTGTAATTCTTAATCAAAGAACTCAGCTCTCCTAGTGAAAGACAGGCTTTTTTTGGGTCTGTATGCTTAAACCTGCCCTTTTCATATAATTGACTGCAAGCTTGATTCAGATGTCCAATCAATTCAATGCCCAAGCTTTAATACTTAATTATTACCTGAGGCCAGCAAATTGTCCTAATAGTTTACCAAGGGACATAAAGGTAGTGGCTGTGACTGTCACCATGCCTCTGATTTTTTTCGGTGAACTCTCACCAAGGTAGATGGTATGTACATTCAAACCCAACCCTTTGAACAAAGAGCAAATCACATCTTATATATATATATATATATAATCACATCTTTTATATATAATTTATTTACAGTCTAATGCACATACCTGCTCCGAATCCAAATAGGAAGCGTGCTACAAGTATCAATTCAAAGGAGTGTGTAGGTTTGCTAATGTACATGATTACTGTGGCCACAACTGCTATAGCACTATTCAACAGCATGGCTCCTTTTCTGCAAGAAGAACTTATACAGTAAATGAACATCCATTTTTGTTGTGAAAACATTAAAAGGAAGAATAGGGAAAGCAGATGAGGATGGGTGAGATTAACCTTCCCAGGTGACTGGTAAAGTATCTGACAGTAATGGAGCCAATGAGACCTCCAAAAGCGTACAGAGCCACCACAGTAGACCAGATAAAGGTGACAGTCTTCTCTCCTGGAACATCCCCGTAGTGATACGTCCAGCTGCTGTTAATAAAGCTCTGAATGTACTGTGGGAAAACAGATAACAGATTGGAGACAAATCGTCATGGATTGATTCATACCTAGATTTTAAGTATGATACTGAACTGATACTTAAATGGCCTTCTGGTAACACTTTATTTTACAGTGTCCTTGTTATATATGTTACATGTACTTACTATAGTAATAGTAACAGTAAATTTTGCATAATTACAATTAACTAAACAAAACCCTAACTCTACAGTAAAGTACACTCTTAATAATAAAGGTTCTTTATTAGCTTCTATGAAGAACATTTAACATCCACTGAACCTTTTGATTGCACAAAAGGTTATTTATAGTGGAAAAAAGTTTCTTTAGATTACCGAAATATTCTTCACACTTGAAAAAAAAAAAGGTTCTTTCAGGGTTCTTTGGGAAACCACAAATGTGCCTCTATGGCATAGCTGCGAAAGCCCTTTTAAAGGGGTCATATGATGCTTTTTTAAAGATCATTATTTTGTGTATTTGGTGTAACAGCGCATCATATGACCCCTTTAAGAGTGTTACTCAGTACATATATGTACAATTACACTATAGCAAGGACACCTTAAAATAATATACCCTGCTTTCTTAAAATAATAACAGGAAAAGAATAAATACAAATTCAAGTGCGCACTGGAGATGGAGAGCTTATTGCTGAGAGATGAAATCCATTTTGAAAAGATCCTCCCACTCCCAGCACAATGATAAAGATAAGTGCTTTCCCCCCAACCTGAAATTACAGTCACACTGTTCATTTACTACATATTTAACATTTCAAGTCAATATTTTTGATATTTCACATTAAACTATAAAACCAGCACAGAGGGGGTTTCTCTTGTTCTAGAATGACACAGAGCCGTAGCCTATTTTAAGTGAATGAGTAAACTTTGGTTAAGAGTTTAACTCTGCGCTTGGTTAAAAGATATAAAGAAAATAAATGGGCTATTTTACAGAGACATATTATCCAGCAATATACTTAGCTTTACCATTATGGCTATTTTGTTGAAATATAATGAGACAACATCTTTAATTCTTCTATAATAATTCAGATTTCATCTAATTTTAAAGATCTGGCAATATATTTAAATAACATGTTCCTACCAGTTCCTGCAACACGCTCTTCATGCTTTCCTTCTTGTGTCCATGAAGCACCACTGCTTCTCTCCAATAAATACAGTGTCATCTCTGTTAGGCATTTTGAGTAATTTTTGACACCGGAATGACTCGTCACATTTTGTCTTCTAAAAGCTTGCTATCTATTTATCTATTTATCTGCATTTGTCCAGATTTAAAAAATGTTTTATTTTAAATGTTTTTGAAACTATCATTTTGTGTAAATACATTTGATAAAAAGACATTTTAATTGAATAAAAAATACCTGATTAAAATAATATCAATTTGATGTAAGTAGCCTAAATTAATATAGACAGAAAGAAACAAATAAATAAAAAACTTACTGTATTGAAAAAATTAAGTAGCCTACTGTATTGAATAGATAAAAATGTAATAAAGTGATTTTCCTAGTATTAATTTTTCACAGTTTGAACTGGGTCTTTCAAGAATATAGGCTATATTGTATATATATTCATGTTTATCTGCTTGTAGCCTATCTTCTTGTGTCCATGAAGTACCACTGCTTCTCTCCAATAAATACAGTGTCATCTCTGTTAGGCATTTTGAGTAATTTTTGACACCGGAATGACTCGTCACATTTTGTCTTCTAAAAGCTTGCTATCTATTTATCTATTTATCTGCATTTGTCCAGATTTAAAAAATGTTTTATTTTAAATGTTTTTGAAACTATCATTTTGTGTAAATACATTTGATAAAAAGACATTTTAATTGAATAAAAAATACCTGATTAAAATAATATCAATTTGATGTAAGTAGCCTAAATTAATATAGACAGAAAGAAACAAATAAATAAAAAACTTACTGTATTGAAAAAATTAAGTAGCCTACTGTATTGAATAGATAAAAATGTAATAAAGTGATTTTCCTAGTATTAATTTTTCACAGTTTGAACTGGGTCTTTCAAGAATATAGGCTGTCAATCAAACATAAATTGTGGCATGAAATTAAAAGTTTGGAATAATTATTTTTTTTAAAACATGTTTTTGAAAGAGGTCTCTAGTTCTCCTAGACTGCGTTTATTTGATCAAAAATACAGTAAACATTGCTGAATATTATACAATTCAAAATAAATGTTTAATATAATATATTTTAAAATGTAATGTATTCCTGTGATAGCAAAGGTGAATGTTCAGTCTTCAGTGTCACATGATCCTTCAGAAATCATTCTAATATGCTGCTTTGATGCTTATAAGTTGTTGTCAGTTATTTTTGGTGCTCAATGTAACTTTTAAAATATAACTTTTCTTTGATGAAGAATACTGTTACTATATATATATAGGCTAGCTGTCTTTGAAATTTTAGGATGATAATTTTTGGGGTCCGTGGCATAAAAGATTGAAAATCCTGAAAACCCCAATATAACATACAACCAGATGAGGGCAGTGTTATTATTTTTGTTACGTTGTTTGACTTTGTTAGACTGTCTTTTCCCTGCGTCGTTGTCTCGAGCAAGAGGAAGTGAATTTACACATTTTTTTTGTTTAGATTTCCCCGTAGTCATCGTTGTCACTCCGATTCAAAACCTAGACTCCCGTCCTTCTCTGAATCTCTTTTAACTCTGCAAATATGCCTTTGGAAAACCTGGAGGAAGAGGGTTTACCTAAAAACCCCAATCTGAGGATAGCTCAGCTGAAGTTTTCGCTGGCTCTGAATGATCACAGACAGGATGCTAAAGTGAGGAGCGAGCTGATGGACGCCATCAAACTCAACAGTGAGTTCATTCACTCACACATGCTGCTCGTTTAGCAGATAAGTTATATGTCTACCTTTCTGTACCACTGCATGAACGTTATATGCACGAGCTTTGTAATTTCCCTGCCTCTTGAGGTTTAGTTAGCTGACAGGCTAAACCAAGTAGCACACTAGCTCATTAGCCGCTAATGTGTTTGGTTGTTTTCATCTAACGTTACACATTTCGTCTTCTGGCACTTGAATGTCCATTGTTAGTTTTCTTAATTGCTTTATTTTAATATAGTGTAAACCAGGGACCGTTGTCACAGTTTACGTTTATTCTTGAGAGCAGTGTTGGGTAAGTTACTCTAAAAATGTAATTAATTACTAGTTACTAATTACATCTTCAACAGTGTAATTAGATTACTGTACAAATCACTCTCTCCAAAAAGTAGTTAATTACTTATTATTAATTGCTTTCTAAATCCTATATCAACCTCGACAAGTTAATGATACAATGATTTTTAATACTTTTAATTCTTTCACGTAACTACATAATTCTGGTCACACTTTAGATTAGCGTCAAATTCTCACTATTAACTAACTATTAACTATGACTTTTGCCTCAAAATACTCCTGCTTACTGCTTATTAATACTTAGTAAAGTAGTTGTAAAGTTTAAGATTTGGGTAGGATTAAGGATTTACAATAAGGTCTTGCGGAACAAGACATTAATATGTGCTTTTTAATTAATAATAAACAGCCAATATTCCAGTAATATTCATGGTAATAACAAACAAGTTAATAGTGAGAATTGGACACTAAAGTGTTGCCAATATTCTTATTAACTCACCAAAGTATTTAAAGTGAGAAGGGTACATAAAAAGCATGCATTTTAAGGTTAGACTTTAAATTTTGATGTTAAATCCACTATTGTATTGTGTATAAATGTTCTACAGTCTATACGCACATTAAATTCAATTACATAAGAAGTAACTGAAATTAAATTACAGAAAAAATAAGAGTAATCCCTTACTTTTTCAAGGGAAAAGAAATTAAATTATAGTAACTAATTACTTAGTAATTAGTTACACCCAACACTGCTTGAAAGTAATATAATGTATTGACACAAACCGTAGAGTCTAGATTACAAAAATATGTTAATTTTTAATCACTGTAGTAACACATTTGTGATGGCAATAACCTCCAATAGCAGTGTGTATTCACACTATATGAAGTAGGTAGTCACAATGGAAACCTGCTATTAAATCATTAATGTTGGCCAACAAAACGCTATATTGTGTAATCACCCATCCATCATGTATGTACTTGTCAGATCACTGTTTCTCTCATATCTAATGATACTTACTCAGAATTAGATCTAAGTGAAACACCTCAGATGTAACGTTGTGATTGTGTTTTGTAGATATGGCCCCGTACTATGAAGCCCTGTGTAAAGAGCTGAAATGGCAGGTGGACACGGATCTGTTGAGTAAGATGAAGAAAGCAAATGAGGATGAACTGAAAAGGCTGGATGATGTTTTGGAAGATGCTGAGAAGAACCAGGGAGAGAGTGAGATCAGAGATGCCATGATGGCCAAAGCTGAATATCTCATACGCATCGGTGACAAGGTGGGAATTCAAACCATACATTCGCTGTCACGCTAAATAATAAATCATGTGCCGAAATGTTTTTGAAAGAAGTCTCTTATGCTCACCAAGACTGCATTTATTTGTTAACAATACAGTAAAACAGTAATATTGTGAAATACGTCTATTTTAATATATTGTGAAAGAAGTTTTATTTCTGTGTTCTGTGTTACTCCAGTCTTCAGTGTCACATGATCCTTAAAAAATCATTTTAATATGCTGATTTGATGCTCAAGAAATTTATTATCGATGTTGAAAACAATTAATATTTCTAATGCTTAATATGTTGTGGAAACCATGTTACAGATTTTTTTACAGGTTTCTTTGATGTATAGAAAGTTCTAAAGAACAGCATTTGTTTGATTTAATTTAATGTTTCCTGAATTAAGTATTCATTTCATTTGACACCAGAAAAAACCCCAAACTTTTGAATGACGATATATATTTTTAAGTTTGGTTACATACGTCTATATATTTGATTTTCTGCTTTTTATCTGTTTAGCTTCTTACACATATATTTTATCATTATATCCATTGATAATATTTCTGTCTTTCATTTAGGAAGGGGCCCTGACCGCTTTCAGGAAGACCTATGACAAGACTGTTGCTCTTGGTCATCGCTTAGATATTGTTTTTTACCTGCTGAGGATTGGCCTGTTTTATATGGACAATGACCTCATCACCCGCAACACTGAGAAAGCCAAAAGGTACAGTATAGGGTACAGACTTGTTTATTTAACAAATGCATGTCACCCTCGAATGTCGGCCTGACACTTGAACTCTGCATGTATGAACAGTTTGATTGAAGAAGGCGGTGACTGGGACCGGAGGAATCGCCTGAAGGTGTATCAGGGCCTCTATTGCGTGGCCATTCGGGATTTCAAGCAGGCAGCGGAGCTCTTTCTGGATACGGTCTCTACATTCACCTCATATGAGCTTATGGACTACAAGACGTTCGTCACGTACACGGTGTATGTGTGTATGATCGCACTCAAGAGGCCGGACCTGAGAGAGAAGGTGAGATCTAGCCTAAAAAAACAGTATATGTACAATACCTTTCAAAGGTTTGATGTTAGATGTTTGTTTTTTTTGGAAAGAAATTTATTCTCTTATTCAATAAGGATACATAAAATTGATCAAAAGTGACAGTAAAGATAAGATTTAAATTAATTGCTGTACTTTCTATTCATCAAAGAATCCTAAAAAGTTTTGCACACAATATAAAGAGTAGGGTTGGGTACCGAACTCGGTACTTTTAAGGGTACCGACCGAATTGCGTCGGTACTACCGAGTACCGATTCACGTTAAATCAATCGGTGCCACATTTCGGTACCTGAGAACGCATCTGGGCGCATATGCTACAGAGAGAGAAAGAGACCCTGTGATGTGACTCGTTCAAACAACACACAGGGCAAGCCGAAATGTTCTGAAGTGTGGTTACATTTAAAGGGCTATACGGTTTCTGCGAAAACGCGGACGGAATCATGGAGTCCATTCATAAAAACGTGATTTACTCTATAGCGCGGAATGCCACGGAATTCGCCAATTTTGGACGAGGGGTGTGTACTCACTTCTGTAACCTATAACATTTGACATAACATTTACCTATTTTATCTCACAATTCTGACTTTTTTTCTTGCTAATGCAAGTTTATATCTCCTAGTTCGGACTTTATAACTATATTCAAGTCAACAATTGCGAGTTTGTCAATTCTGGGAAAAAAAGCCAGAAGTGTGGGATTATAAACTAAAAAGAAAGAATGACGAGTTGGGTAAAAAAGAAAGAAAGAAAGAAAAATGTGTAGGGCCCTATTGTTCAAAATGTTGAAATTGAGCCTTTTGGACTTATTTTTTCACTGAAATAAATGTTTTTGTAATTACACAGAGAGTAAAGTACCGAAAAAAAGGTACCGAAATTCAGGAAGCGGTTAAAATGTGAACGGTACCCAACCCTACATGAGAGACCTCTTTAAAAATATGAAAAGAAAAATAATAATAATAAAAATCATGCCTTCAAAATTAAAAAAATTAAGAAATAAATTCTTAAAGGGACAGTTCACCTTCAGTTGCTGGTTCCCATTGACTTACATGGAAAAAAAAAACACTATGCAAGTCAATGGGTACCAGCAACTGAAGGTGAACTATCCTTTTAATTAAAAAAATTAGAGATCAATTGAATTAAATAATCATTGTTAATGTCATGATTTTAGACCAGTCATTAGAAAGCACAATGAAACAGGAATATGTCTAAATGTTTTCAAAATCATTGTTAAAACATCATTAAAAAGTTAACTTTGACAGACCTAAATATACAGGTGCATCTCAGTAAATTAGAATGTCGTGGAAAAGTTCATTTATTTCAGTAATTCAACTCAAATTGTGAAACTCGTGTATTAAATAAATTCAATGCACACAGACTGAAGTAGTTTAAGTCTTTGGTTCTTTTAATTGTGATGATTTTGGCTCACATTTAACAAAAACCCACCAATTCACTATCTCAACAAATTAGAACATGGTGACATGCCAATCAGCTAATCAACTCAAAACACCTACAAAGGTTTCCTGAGCCTTCATTGTCTCCTCATTTACCTTCTATCACCACCTTAAAGGAACACTCCACTATTTTTGAAAATAGGCTCATTTTCCAACTCCCCTAGAGTTAAACAGTTGAGTTTTACCGTTTTCGAATCCATTCAGCCGATCTCCGGGTCTGGCGGCAGCACTTTTAGCTGTAGCTTAGAATCAAGGAACTTTGCTGCCGTACCATGGGTGCAGCAGGCACAATGATATTGCGCAGTGCGTGAAAATAGTCCCCAGCACGCTCCCTATGCAAGCAGGTGGTCACGTTGGTTATGTTGACGGAAGTTAGCCTATTTTCAGGCACTGTGTAATATCATTGTGTCATTGCAACTTTTAGTAAACAATGTAACTACAGAAGAGTCAAGTTTTAAATAGGAGAAATATAGAAACTCTTTGGTCATTTTTGAGCGAGATGCTAACGGTCTAATTAGATTTAATGATCTATGCTAAGCTAAGCTAAAAGTGCTACCGCTACACCCGGAGATCGGCTGAATGGATTCGAAAACGGTAAAACTCAACTATTTAACTCTAGGGGAGTTGGAAAATAAGCCTATTTTCAAAAATAGTGGAGTGTTCCTTTAAGGCGTTTTCGGGTTTTCTAGATGGAGCCCTGGAGGACAGAACAACAGATGCTGCACCATAAGGGAAAACACACAAATACAAATCTAGACTAAAAATGATTTCTAAAAAGGCTACTAAACAAAATTTTGCCAATTAAAACCAGTTTATAAAAGAATGGTCTATATTCAAATAAATAACTGGCAAACTTTGACGAAATCACACAGCTTATCTACGTTTTATTGAATTCATCACAACCAAAAACCAGAAACAAAAGGTGGCTAGTAATGCTGAAGTCTCTTGGCTAAGAGCTCTCTAGTGCCAGCTGTGAGGAATTCAGCTTGAGTCGTTTGTTGGCTCATCTCCCCTTCATGGAGCCCGGTGACAATGTGGCAAGTGTTGAGGAAGTGGGCGGGAATAGCTCTGCTCAGCAGCCCTTTGGGAAGCACACTTGCCTCAACACCAGCCCCGTGGAACTGACAGACACACACACACACACACACACACACACACCTCTGCTGCCTCCACTCATACTCCAAGAACTTGCCTGACAAATATCAAGACACATTATAAACATCCACCTCAAAAGTTTTCCTGACTGATACTGTATAAACTATGAGTCTTGACTGCAGATTTGCTCAGTTAGTTTGCTTTTGAAATCAGAGCAGAGTAAACCGGTGCAGACTGGTTATTTTCATCGGAGTGCAAACTATTCCCAAAGGGTCTGAGGAATTTTGACATCTGCCCCGGCACACATGGGAGCACAGATGTGTGGAGAACTCCTGAACAAAAAATCCCACATTTCCTGTGTTTTACAGTAACGGGGGTATTTGCATTGGTGATTGGAGTTCTGGAAAAGGGGTTACAATCCCAGCAGACGATGTAACTACAGAAGAGTCAAGTTTTAAATAGGAAAAATATAGAAACTCTTTGGTCATTTTTGAGCGAGATGCTAACGGTCTAATTAGATTTAATGATCTATGCTAAGCTAAGCTAAAAGTGCTACCGCTACACCCGGAGATCGGCTGAATGGATTCGAAAACGGTAAAACTCAACTATTTAACTCTAGGGGAGTTGGAAAATAAGCCTATTTTCAAAAATAGTGGAGTGTTCCTTTAAGGCTGCAGGACCACAGTTTGAAAACTCCTGCTTTATTGAATCATATCTACAAGTTTATATTTAATGCATTTTGCAGACACTCTTATCGAGAGCAACACAAAAAGTTGTCTGCTAGGAAAGGACTTCCTGTATATGTTATATTGCCAAAAAAAATGGACCTAATAAAAACAATTGATTCTTAATAGTAATAAATAGCTTAATGCATGAAATGATCAAATCTCTTGTCTTCTCTCAGGTAATTAAGGGTGCTGAGATTTTGGAGGTGTTGCACAGTTTACCTGCTGTCCGTCAGTACCTCTTCTCTCTCTACGAGTGCCGTTATTCTGTATTCTTTCAGTCATTAGGTAAGTGAAATATTGGCACAGCAGACTTTAAAGAGCAATTGAGGAAACTGTTATTGCTTAACTAGCCACTCTCTGTTTTAAGATTAATGTTGTAAGCTATGTTGCTATTTATTTGCAACGTTTATTGAATGTACTTCTCTAAGTCTGCTATTGTTTAAAATGTTTTGGTCAGAGTTTCCATCTGTTTCTCTTCTGTAGCTCGAGTGGAACAGGAGATGAAGCAAGACTGGTTGTTTGCTCCTCATTACCGTTACTATGTCCGAGAGATGGACAGAAAAAAAAAAATCAAAATATACACACTTGTACAGAATTGTATAAGAGGCTTCTTCCCCAAAAAGCAAACTGTGTTTATCATCTTCGATTCACATTCCAGATCTGTGGTTTTTAATCAAACATCTTCACAAAGCTTTCAACATCTGAAAACAGTGGAGTTACAATTTCAAGGTAAACAGTACATTTATCTGCCTAAAACATTGGTTGAAATCACAGACTTAGCCACAAAAATATCTATCCCCCTCGCTTTGAAAATTTCTATCAAAAGTAGTCATAAAAGAATACAAGAGACAGATAAGAAGCTTTTCTCATGTCATTGTCAAGTAAGTGTTACTCCTCTGCCATGCATTTCATCAATCAGAGTTACCGCTCTACTTGAAGGGGAAAAGGGCGACGTGTGAGATTCCTAGGCAGGTTTAAAACGTTTTTAAACCCTTAAATAACATTCAAGTACTGTGAAAAGAATACATGAAATAAAAAGCTCTGCCTTAACAACAGTTGATGAGAAACTAATTCAGGCACTTTTTTTTTTTTTGTCAGCGTTAAAAGCAAATGAATTATTAAAAAGCAGTGTATCCAATTACAACGTTTGGCAACAGTGGTGCACATTTTGCACTGTACAACGGTTTTGTTCCCTCACCCAGTTAGAAAAGTCCTAGAAAATACATCAGCCAGCCAGAAAACTTTTGCACAGTTAAACGGGCCATTTTGATCACATTCTCTGATCTCTTGGTTCGAGATGGGGAGGCATCACGAGGGATAAGAAGCACTATTGACACCTAGAAAACAATATAGTATACGGTGGATGGTTTCCCACTACTGTGGCAACAACTGTCTGGGGGAACTCGGCGTGCGACTAACAAGAAGCTGTGTTCAGATAGAGTGGCGTATTGCATTATCGGCTTGGCAGTGAACCACTTCTAATAATCTTAGAATGTTTCCATTTACTAAATAAATAATAATGATCTCAATTATACCAAAAATCGTTTACGAAAATGCCTGTGCAAAAATACATCTCCATATGTACAATTCAAAATACTTTAACAAAATATGTATTCTGAAATAGGGATACTTCAATATTTGAATTCGGTTTCGTGTACGAAAAAGCCGAAGGGAAAAAATACACAAGAAAAAAAAAAAACATGCTCTACTTCTCAGCAACCATTGCTGACTGACATCAGTGGAGTTCAGTAATTTACAGGAGTTTTAAAGCCCCAACTTACACAACAAAATCCACCTCAAGATCTCTTATGAAGATTAATGAGCCAAAGAAGGATCTATTGCGTTTAAGTTGACAGATTTAAATCAGAATGTCTAGCTACTAACCTCTTTAGGGTCACAAAGAACAAAAGCTTGTGTGGGATCAATGCAGGAACGTTCAGTCGCAGTATAAGGTAGTGGTTATTGGATGAGATGGTGCTGGCCAGACTACTGTTTATGTGTCTCACAGTATTGGGAGTCGTGTAGATGTCTACTCCATTGCTGAGATGATAGTGTGTCTGTCATGTTGGTCTATGGCTCAACGTCATTTAGCCACGAGCCCCTTTCTGAGATTGAAACGGCACATAACGATACCATGCCTAAGACATCTTCACCAGGAAACTCTCCTACAATCATTTGAGCGAGACTGCAGATTTTAGTACATTAAGATTTCAGCACATGCTTCTTTAGTGCTACGATGGGTAACTGGAGGAGGTGAAACGTCACCTGCCGTCTCTCATTTTGCTCCGACTGGAGCAATTTTTGCATGTGCTAAAAGGTTCACTGAATCAAGCCCTTAATGTACCTAAAATATCTGTGTTGTCCAAGGCATGGTTTTTAAGAGGATTACAGTGTTTTCTGGAGTTTCAAGAGACGACTGTTGCTCAGGATTCAGTAAAAAAAAATTCTAAAAAAAAAAAAAACCAGTGCTTTAGCTAATGCAAGGTGTTCAGAGTTTGATTTGGGGTTGGATTTTTTTGTAAAAAAAAAGTAATTGCAATAAATCAGCCTAAAATAACTCTCTTTTAGCTTCTCTGAAATAAGTAAAGAAAAAAAAATCCCCTTGAAATAAAAATCAAATCTAAATGAAAACTTTTCAAAAATAAATGGAAAATGGTATACGATAAATATTTTGTTCTGTTTGCTATACATTTGCTAACCTGTAAACAAAATGTGGTCTAAAAAAAAAAGTCTAGTTTGCATAATCTTTAAGTTTAGGTTGCTCATGTTGAAACTCCACTCCTGTCATGTCTATCTGCAGTGAGTGTAGCTCAATCTAATACAGCCTTCCAGTGAGAGATCATGTGTATGACTAACTTAAGTTGACACTGTGTCTACTTTAGGGATGTTCCTCTCCTGTACACTTCCTCCAAGGCTGAGTAGGATTACAGTTTCCAGTATGTCCAGTATGTTCTCGTATGTCCACACCTTCAAGCTAACATACCGAAGGATATCGGTAAAGCAACTCATCTTGTTCACGTCACACATCCCTCCTATGCTTGGTAGTGTTGGCGAGGCTACACACCAGCCCAAATCTGTACCTTCCAAGTACTGCAAGTGCTCAGGCTGGGCAGCTCATGATCTACGAAGCAGGCTTTGTACCCAATGGTGCATTGTATAGATTCATTATAACCTCCGACAGAAGAACTATATCTCTCTGGCTTATTATCCTATCCCCGGAGAGTGCCCCTGCATGGCTTTGGGAGGAAATCCTCACGAAGGACATCAATGGGCCACCCAGTGTGCATTCCACCCTGAGGATTGTGGGAAGAGTAAGAGAAAAAGAAGGCCTCGTGCAGAGTGACATGAGGGGGCTGAGGGAGCTCTGGGTCCAGCCTACTGCTCAGCATGCTCAGAGCCTCCTCACCTGTGTCAGGGACGAGCCTTTGGCTGTGGGAAACACACGCACAAGTACGGAAATGTAATGTCTAAGAGGAAAGAGACACTGATATTACATTCTAAACTAAAAACGAGGAAGGAAAACAAACTAACCTGATGTATGTGTGAATTGTTAGGGAGCCCTGGTGGTCCAGGTATAGAGCGAGCGTGCTTGCTGTGGATGTTGTTGATTGATGGAGACTTGGCCATTTTGGTCCTGCCAGGACCTTGTCCTCCTCCCCCTCCTGCTCCAGACACTGTCAAAGTCATTACAAAATCTGAATAAGAGACAGCACTATGAAATCAAGCAAACGGCATATAATAATGTCAAGTCTACAAGCGATTTTGGGATCATAGTGTTTTAGGACTTTATATAACGATGTGAATGCAGAAAAAAGTGAGATTGATCAGTCTGACAGTTCTGTATGATCTCTGTTCAATTTTGAAGTAAACTTTGAAGAGTAGTGAAGTGTAAAAAAAAACTTGAATAGAACTAAACTGAAATGAAACAATAGCAAAATTGTAACCTGAAATGAAAAAGCAACCGATCAAAGTAAAACTGAAATGATTCAGAAACTGGATTAATACTAAAATGAAGTAAAATAAAAACGGGAACAAAACTAAACCAAGATGAAACAGAATTGATACTAATGTGAAATGTCACAACTGAACAGAAATAGAATAGAAATAGAAACTAGATTATTACTAAAAAGACATTAGACAATGAAAAAAAGGATTTAAGCCAATTTGAGATGAAATAGAAATTTTGATTGAAACTAAACTGAAATGAAACGGCTAAATTAAATTAACTGAAATAAAATAGAAAATGGATAAAAACTAAAAAGGCATTAGACAGTCTGGATTAAAACTAAACAAAAACCAGATCAAAGAAAATTTGAATCTAAAACTGAATTAACACCAAAGTGAAACAGAAATTGGATCAAAACTAAAATCAGATTAAAAATAACGGGATTAAAACTAAACTGAAATAAATCAGAAACCAAATTAAATCTAACTGGAAGGAAACAGAAACTGGATTAATACTAAAATGAAGTGAAATAGAAACTAGATCAAAACTAAACTAAGATGAAACCGAAATGGGGTTGATACTAATGTGAAATGACACAGAAACCAGATCACAACTAAATTGAAATATAATAGAAATAAAAAATAGAATATTACTAAAATGACATTAGACACAATGGAAAAAATGACTGAAGCCAAATTGATAAGAAATAGAAATTTTGATTGAGACTAAACTGAAATGAAGCAGAGAGCAAAATTAAATTAACTGAAATTAAATAGAAAATGGATAAATACTAAAAAGGCATTAGACAGTCTGGATAAAAACTAAAAAGAAACCGGATCAAATAAATTAATTTGAATCTAAAACTGGATTAACACTAAAGTAAACTGAAATAAAACAGAAACCAAATTAAATCTACCTGTAATAAAACAGAAACTGAATTAATACTAAAATGAACTGAAATAGAAACTGGATGAAAACTAAAAAATGAAAAAGAAACGGGATTGATATACTAATGTGAAATGACACAGAAACCAGATCAAAACTAAACTGAGATTAAACATAATGGGATTAAAACTAAATTTAAAATTAAAACAGAAACCAAATTAAAACTGGAATGAAACAGAAACTGGATTAATACTTAAATGACATACAGAAATCTGGATTAAAACTTGAAAAGTAAACAGAAACTTTATCAAACATAAACTCATTTGAATCCAAAATGTAAAAAAAAAACAAAAAAACTGAAATGAATAAAAACTGCATTTAAAACTAAACTGAAATGAAAAAGAACCTGGATTAATACTAAAATGACAGAGTACTGATTACTAAACTGAAATTAAACAAACTGAACTGAAACCAAAATATGATTAAACAGAAACCAGATTAAAACTAACTGAAATGAAACAGAATATAGATCAAAACTGAAATGAAAGTAAAAAACAAGGTTTATGCACCTGTGCTGTTAAGGCTACTAGAGCCAGGTGAGCCCTTCCTCCTTTTGGCTTCCAGACGTGAATCTGCATGATGATCGCTGCTCTGGTGAACAAATGGCCCGAGGGAGAGGGTGGAGTCACTGCTGTTCATCACTACGCTCATGCGTTTAATGGACTCGGCTGGGCTGCCTGAGGGAGGGCCACGTCCTGTCGACTCCTGCCTCAAGCTCAAAGAGTTGGCCCTGCCTGGGGTGCAATTCACCCCCACGCTGTAAACCCCGCTGTGGGATGACGACAACGTTGATGACGATGAAGATGAAGAGGGGGTGGAGGCAAGCGAGGTGTGGTAGGCGCTGCCAAGGCTGCCCGAGTTTACCGCACAGTTCTTCTTAAAAGATGAGGATGAGAAAGAGTCAGAGGTGTAAGTGCTATGGGTGGTAAGCAGGGAACTATTTTTCCGCTTCTTGCCTGAACTGAGACTACCGCTGATGCTAGCACTGCTGTTAGTACTGCCCTTGATGATAGAGTTACTTAGGCTGGAGGATGGCTCCCGAGCCTTAAAGGACTTTGTACCAGATCGGGATTTAAGGGGTCGATTGGAGCCCAACGAGGGTAGCGAGGACGAGTGGGCTGAAGGCATCTGGGGTGATGAGGCTGACACTTGTCTAGAAGTGCCACTGTAGGCGGGCTGCTCAGTGGCGGAGGCTTGTGGAGAAGAGCGGGCGTTCAGGGTGGTGCCATATGACAGGACTGGCTTGCTGTCATAAGGCGGTGGTGAGGACAAGCTGAGAAACCCTGCAGAAATGGAGGAGGATGAGGAAGAATGGGAGTTTGTGCTTGTCCGGTGAGAGGTTGTCGGTGTTGTTGCCGAGTTCTCTAACGCTAGAGGGATTTTCCTACAAAGTAAATGCAAGAAATCATAATAAGGATTGTGTTTAATGGAGAAATGGAGAAGTGGGAAGGGTCTCAACACACTTACTTCCACAATTGTGAGTTGACATGCTTGTCCAACATGGTGGTGAGAGCACACCGTACTTGATCCCAGCGCCGGTCGAACGCATAACAACCTCTACCGTACAATCGACTTCCAAAAGTGCAGAACTGATGAGAGGCAGAAAAGGAATTGCACATTGGTACTTTGTACTAAACATTCTTAGATCAAGGTTGACTCAAACATATTTTAAAGAGGCTGGCTCAACACAAAATTGGATTCAAATAAGGCCCTGGATATTCATTTAAACTTGTTTTAAAACAGCTTAGTGATTCAAAATGCAAGTGACTTTCTAAACAGGCACTTCAGTTTGAGAAATTCACTACTTCAAAAAGAAAAAAAAATCCCTAATACTTTAAGATCACAAGGTTTCTAATACTTACAGCAGCTGGTCGTGGGTGGTAACCTGAATAATGGCAGTCCAGTTTCTCTGTGCCCTCCTCTCTCTCCTCGTTCTCCCCCTCGTCACTGGAGAGGCGGCTGGTCTCTGTGCCAAAAGGGGCTGGGTGAGAATGGTGGGCCTGGTCGTGGGCCATGGCTGGGTCTCCTCCACTGTGAGAGTTACTGCTGTTGAGTCTGAAGACACAAAAAAGCACCCTAACATTTGCTTTCATTGTCAACCACCCGAAAAAAAAGAACAACTGGAGGTCTATAACAAATTTGGCTAATCAATCAAAAGGAAGCCGGTTTAGATTAAATAGTGGGGCAGGAGGAAGCAACTCACCGTGGAAGCCCAGAATTATGAGGTTTGGGTTTGCTGTGGGGCAAAGGCTTAGTGGCATCGGCAGTGCCATTGCCATGGGAGACTGGGTGAGGGTCTTGTGAGATGCGGGAGGGGGGAGGGTGAGGGTCCCTGAGAGGGGGTGCTGGGTGTGAAGGGTCCAACCTGAACTGCAGCTCCTTGTCGCGCGCTTTGCTCTTGTGCTCAGCGAGAAGCGTGTCAAAGCGTTGCCGTCGCCCGAGCACCGCCCTCCTCTGGCTTATGGAATGTGTCTGTGGATAAATGAGGGGGGATATGTAACAGTTCAGTCATTCAAAGAAATTTGAACATTAGGGAGGTCCTAGGTATGCAAAATACACTGATGACCATATTGATATCAGCCAAGATCATTCTGTTTAAGAAGATATTTTAAAATAAAAGAATTCTGGGATAATATTTGACCTTTTTTTGGTATATTATTAGCATTATATTGCTATATTAATATATTAAGACAATATTCAAAATAAAATACAATATAATATAATATAATAACTGACCCTTATTATTTATGGTATATTATTAGTATTATATTGTCATATTATATTAGGACAATACTCAACAACAACAAAAAACAACAACAATATAATATTTGAGCTATTATTTTTGCTATGTTATTAATGCTATATTGCTATATTACATTAGGACAATAAAAAAAAAAAAAAAGCTCACACACACACAC